CCATGCCAAACAACACAGCAGCAACAACAGCACAATTCATCGTCGAAGATGTTATCTTGAAATATGGTGTACCCAGAAAATTAATTACAGATCAAGGATCACACTTTAAGAACGAATTGATGGGCAGCATTACTCGGCTTTGTGGATGCAAACACGTCTTTGCAACAACATACCATCCCCAACACAAACGGACAGGTTGAACGTTTCATGCAACCTTTTATCTGCAATTGGCAAAATTACATGACGAAAATGTTAATGATTGGGATGCATACTTAACCGCATGTATATTTGCCTACAATACTGGAGTTCATGCGACAACTGGGTACTCACCATTTCAACTGATGTTTGCCCGCCAACCCGTTTTACCCTTTGATGCACCAAAAGCAGTAATCGTATTAACAAAGCCAAATGATTATTGGACACAAATCAATCGGTTAATGAATGGCTACAAAAAGAGTGTAAAGTACAACATCAATTACCAACAACAGCTGGCGAAACGACGTTATGACAAGGGACGTGCCAATCCAATTTATCATCCAGGTGATTTAGTATTTATCAAACAGCATGGTAAACGTCCAAAATTCGGTGAATTATATTCTGGATCATACAAAGTGATACAACAACAACATCCACTCGCATATTTAGTGGAAGATGAAGAATCATCAATTCAAGAACAGGTTCATGTCAGCAGAATACAACCTGTTTATCAACAAATGATCTAAATTTATGTTATTAGTATTACATTTGATGGTGTTATATGGTACTGGTAGTAGGTAATTGGAAGGCTATAGTAATTATTATGACATACAATTATGTAATTTATGTGATTAGCACGATATTGGGGGAGAGTTCATTAGCCTTCACTGATTGATAGGGCTCGTTACATATTATTCAAATATCATTTACATCATAATAATAATGGAAATGGTTATAACATCACCCATTGTGTTTACTCATAATGATAATGAGGATTAATTTAGCTAGGCTGACATCTTTCACATAGATACATTATCATTCGATTTTATGGTGGGTCGATACATCGTAATTTGTTAATGGTAATATTCAAATACTTCCATGATGAAATTCTTGGATGTGATAGTAATCAGCACAATACCTGATCATCCAAGACCAATCATCAAATCAAACAACAGCAACATAAGCGGGTGTTTTACAAATTAACAACAACTATCTGTAACATTAAGCGCTTTTATTTTTTTTATTGTGACGTTGCAGTGATTTTTATGAACGGGACGTTCATCTTCTCGGTGAGGGGAGGTGTTAGGAAGTGAATACAGTCAAGAAGAACTTTTTATTTGACGTTTTCGAACTGTAGCTTTGCATCTTGTCCAGAAATTCGTGTAACTCAGCCAAAAGTTGTTGGTTTGAGACAATTTTTCTTAATTTGAAAGCCATCGAGTCGTACCATGAAACTACGTCTTAGTTATTCAATAATGTGATAATGAAAAAAAAAATAGTCTAGAATTCATTCCATATCAGATCAATCAAATAAATGAGATAAATGATGATAGAAAATCTCTTTTCATATTTATTACATATGAAGAACTTAATTAAACTAATCAATTAAAACTATTTTTGAAATATTATAAGGTGCCCGCAATTCAAAAACGTAGCACTATCTTAGTTTTCGGTTGAAAGGTACATATTCAGAAATTTCTGGCTGCGCTGATTCCGAATATCACCTTTTTCTTCAAATTCGATCAAGTTTTTGTGGAGAAATTCTCAAAATACTAAGAGCAGCGAGAAAACAAAAAATTTGCATTACTCTGAGAAAACTTGAGATTTTGCCCCTTCCGTCCAGTGGAATTTTTCAAATTTGATATATTCGGATTCCCCATCAAAAACTGAGTCTAATCGTGTACCATTGAGTCACAAAAACCAGAATACCTGTGTTGTTCAATTTTGACAAGAGTAAGCACTCGACAAAAAGAGCTACCTCTCTCGCAAACCTGTCTCCTTCCTGGTTTTGAAACTTTTATCCGATCAGCATACGCCATTCATATCACCATTTGAAGGGCAACAAAAGTAGGCATC